GTAAGGAGTCCACTGAGTAAAGAATGAGCAAACAATTTATGTGGACAATTTCCTGGGTGTGACATCAACTGAAGAGGAACTGTTAATTACTTATGGAGAGGCTAATAAAATAATGCAAAGTGCAAATATGCCTCTGAAGGAATGGAATAGTAATTCGTCCAAATTAAAGGACAAAATAAGTAAGGATTACCCTGGAGATGAAGTGCCAAAATGTAGTAATGTATTGGGTTTAACTTGGGATACTGAGAGAGATTTGTTAATGTTAAAACCTAATAATTAGAGTATGCCCAGTAAATTAACTAAGAGTGTCTTGCTTGCTGAAGTTTTCAAATGTTTTGATCCACTAGGTTTAGTGTCAACCCTTACTATAAGAGGGAAATTATTAATTCAGGAAGCATGGAAACTTAAATGTGCTTGGGATGAAATTCTACCTGAGGAATTCATTAACAGGTGGGATGAATTAATTGGTGATTATGAGAAAATTCCAATGTTGGAGTTCCCACGCCAGGTGGGCAATCCAAATGGGAAAAATGTACTCCACATTTTTTGTGATACTTCAAAATTGGCATATGGAGCAGTTGCTTACCTTCAATGTAATAGTGTTATTTCTCTTGTTATGTCTAAGGCTAAAGTGTCTCCAATTAAATCACGTACTTTGCCTCAGTTGGAATTAACAGTCATTTATGTAGGTGTCAAATTAGCTAATTAGATAAGAAATAAGTTGCAGGAGATAAATATTAGCGACACTGTAATTTGGTCTGATAATGAGGTATCCTTACAATGAATTCGTAATGGAAACAGTAAAATTGTTTATGTACAAAACAGAGTCGCTGAAATTAATCAGACGCAAGAGAAGTATAATAGTTTGGGTCAGCATATGTTAACCTTTAATCATATACCTGGTGAGGAGAATCCAGCTGATTTCTTGTCTCGAGGTTTACCTTATGCTAAATTTGTAAATGCTGTATCATGGTTTAAAGGACAGAGCTGGTTGGTAAATAAAGCTAATTGACCTGTATAAAAGGCGTATATTACTCCTGTTGAAATTACTGTGACCACCGCTCCAATAGTTTGTCCTTCCTTAGACATTGATATAAATAGGTATTCTTCTTTACCCAAACTAATCAATGTAACTAAGTTGGTGTTTAAATTTCTAAACAAGATGAATATTTCATTTAAGTTTTCACATCCTCTTGAATATTGGACAAAGAGGGTACAAGAAGAAATCTATGGAAATGAGATGAAATTGATGATGGAAAGAAAAATTGTGAAAGGTTCCATAATAGAGAAATTGGGGCTGTATTTAGAGAACAATGTAATTAGGTGCAGAGGTAGGTTACAAAATGCTGAATTGGGTGATTATGCTAAACACCCTATCTTACTGCCCAAAACTCATCGTCTAACAAATTTAATTGTTCTAAATGACCATAAAAATGTAATGAATTGTGGGGTACAAGATACCTTAAATTGTATTAGGGAAACTTTCTGGATTCCACAAGGACGGCAGAGTGTAGAAAGGGTGATTAAATCTTGTGTAATATGTCGCCGTGTGGATGCCAGATCCTATATGTACCCAGGTCCTCCACCATTGCCAAATGAGCAATTTGAGTCGTTTAGCAACGAACTCCGCCGGCCGCAGTGTGGAAAATACTGTATATATTTTCCGGAAATACGGTAATTTATAGGTAGATTCCCTATACATGTATTGTATTTTTAAAAGAAGTATTTTATCGAAAATGGGAAACCTGCGGCTGGGGAGGACAGTCGCCATTGCTTTTTGAATGTGTTACAAGCACGTTAATGTGAGGTGTATAATTTTCGTGCTCTAGAGGTAAAATTGGGTTGACACCTCTCAAATAGGAGGCGAAATTGTTGGATGTGCATTCCTGCATAACTTGAGATATCAGGCGACTGGACAAGACAGCTCCAGGAACCTCAGATAAGTCTTATGTAGTAACCTGGCCAGTGTTATTTTCATAGATAGACAGTGAGGTTTTCTGAGTATGATACACATTAATCTCCAGTCAAATTGGTGAGTGATATTAAGATATTTTCCTTCTGTTATATAAATGTGTGTATATATAATCCTTTTTTTTATTTTAATATACAGTCCACAAATTTATATATTTACCAGTATTCCTGGAGATGTATAATTCATTTAATTAATAGGTCCAGAGCAACTTGTGGATATGACAGTGGTAGGTATCGAAGGGGGACATTTTTTGCGACCTACGTGTCCCAAATTCCTACTTGTCTAACTGATAAATAATAATTATCTGTTCATTTACTGTTATGTATATAATGATACATTCAGATAAATGCAATTTTCCACAAAAACATTGTACATATATATCTATATAAAATAAAAAAATCTTTGTGTAACTATATATGCCTGTGTAAAAATTACGGTAAATATCATATGTACTTTATTCTCAGGTCCCACTTCAGCAATTTTTAACCAAATCTGAAATTGATGTGCTTGTGCACTTGAGATAGTTTTTGTGCAATATAAAATCCTAAAAATAACCTAGTATAATCCAACCAAACCCAATGTAACCCAACTGAACCCAAGGTAACCCAACTGAACCCAATGTAACCCAGCCAAACCCAACATAACCAAACCGAACCCAACGTAACCCAACCTAACATAATATTATATTTAATGCCAAGAGTGAAAGCATGTGATATTGCATCGAGGAAGTAATGAAAGATAGCGAGGTGGTGGTGATAAGAGTGTATCCAGCAGCCAACCAAAAAGCTGGGTCACTGGTTCATGGTATCATGCAACTGTATTCCTAGATAACCATTTCAAAACAACTATGTTTCCTGTGGTATGGACAGCCAATGTTATTATTCAGTCACTGTCTGACTTTTTTGGGTTATCCTAGGTTCTCTACATGTATGCTGCTATGTATGATAATCTATATATATACATGAATAAACTTATTACTTATTATATGAAATATTAATAGGGTTTTGCATCATGCGGCTCGACTCCTGAGAGTAAAATCATGGCAATGATTTCAATAAATAACAATTCTCACAACTGTTTTTCTTGTTATGGAGATGACCAATTGTAAAGTATACTGTGTAGTGTTGACAGGGATGTGACCCAGGAATGAAGTACATATTGACCAAAAATAAAACAACATAACTGTGTCAAGTGGTTCAGTTGACAGTACGCTCGACTCACCTAGTGAATGTGTGTGGTTCGATCCCCCCCTCATGGAAGGTTCCTTGATGTTGGTGAGGGGCTCTTGATTTAGGGAATTGGAACTGTGCTCCAGTTCCCTGAATTAAGCCTGAATGCCTTCCACATCCCCCCCCCCGGGCACTTCATAATCCTACGGGTTTAGCGCTTCCCCTTTGATTATAATAATAATAATGTGGTTCGATCCCTGGCAGAGATGAAAACATTAGGCATGTTTCCTTACATCTGCTGTCCCTGTTTACCTAGCAGTAAGTAGGTACCTGTGTGCTTGTTAGACTGCTGTGGGTCACATCTTGGGACACATTAAGCACCCCCAATGGAAATTACAGTCAGTCCCCGTTGATCCACTGGTTTTATTGGGTTATCCTGGGTGGCTAACCTTCCCCCCGTTTAAAATCCCAAAAATCTTATCTTGAGCCCATAAAAGAGTCACAGCCTGCCTGTGTTATCCTAGGATAGATTCTGTATACAAAAAATCATTATAAAAGCTTAAACTTAAGTATGAAATAAGTT